ATTTTGTAACAGGAGCCTTTCCATGACAGAACACTTGTGATCCGGAACAACCTTCTAGAGCCCCGTGAGTACCTTCGCAGAGCTTCCATGCTACAGCCAGTGGTCAGCGGAAGCTTACACTCTGACCCCACAGGACACTGTGCCTCTGACTGTCCTTGCCCATGCCCTGTCCATGCCCTCAGCCTAGGCCCTGCAAGGCAAGAAATGGAAGGAAGCTAACTGGAAAGAGATGAAAAGTGTGTTGCAACTGATCTGTCACACCCATAGATGGGTCACAGCATGGAAAGTTGCCTTCCCATTGGTCATCAAGCAGCCTGGTCACACACTGAGACTAATTAGCCACCTTCCTTCTAGAGAGATCCGACTGCAAGTCACAAAGAGCGTCAAGGCCTTTGCAGCAGGGTGGTGCAAACAGACCCACAGCCAGGCAGCCTCAGGCCTCTGAAGGCTCACCAGGCTCTAAGCAACCCACCCCAGGGCCTGGCCCACGCCTGGGTGGGAGCTCTTTGGCGCTGGTAGTTTCTGAGTGGGACATGTGAATGCAGCCACAACACAGTCTACCTTGAAGGCTGACCATTTAGATCGGCCCTAGAGAAACTTCCTGGTTAGCAATTGTGTGTCCCCGGGGTCCATCGCGTGCTTAAGTAGTGTATTTAATACTCACGAAGACCACATCTATAGCAGACAACAAAGAGATCTCGAGGCGTGCTGCTGCCATCTTCCCCTAGCTGGCTGTCCTCCCCTCCCGGGCTGCCGATAGATGACCTTCCTTGGCGCTGCCGTCCAGGACCAGTTGCTTTCCGATTTATAATTTCCTCTCCTCTGCAGCTGACTGTCATCCGATGCAAACTTATTTCTCGGCAGAGAAAGTGTTCTCTAGAGTAATTTCTATTAGTGAGTTCGCCATGCTGTCTGTCCCACCAGTAACAGCAGCTTCAAATAATAACATCCAGCCCAGAGCGATTGCTGTCCACTTCCGGGTCTAGCCTTGCTCCTCGGGTGCCTGGTTTCACCACGCCGAAACATGACCCTGGGAGGTCTAAGCACCGCTGCATGGTGCTGGGAGGAGTGTGAGTATGGCGAGGGCCAGCACAGCCTGAGTGACAGCGACACAGAGGACTTGGTTCTCCCTCTCTCTTCTTCCCACTACTTACTTTAGATCTCTAGGATTCTCCCTTCCTATCGCTAACCAATCTCAGTCCTGCCATAAATACTCAAGGTTTATGATCCAAGCCAGATAAGAGCAGACTCTAGGTCAGGAGCTCCACCAGACCCACAGTTCTTTCCTCTTGCTGGAACTATTGCAGAACAGAGACCTTGACTGAAACTTCTGTCTCCAAACTTGACGTGTAAAATAACGCACACATTTCCCCCTCAACGTGGTGATGCTATACTTAAGGTCTTAGGCTACTCCCCAAAAGTCCATTTAACACATGACCTATGTGGTACAGTCCGGAACCCCAGACCTGGAGTTAGGAGTTTGCAGCTAGCCTTGCTAGTAGGGTCAGCCCCTAGCTGGGTGAAGTCTGGCTCCTGAAGGGGGGGCCTGCAGGCACAAGGGAAACGTCCATACGGTCGAGTGCACGCCCACTTTGTGTATGCCTGCCCCTCACATCCCGTCTTCTCTGGGTGAGAGGGCCCGCATGTCTCTCCCTACAAACCTACACTCCAGCTCCTTGTCATCTGTGAAGGTCCAAATGCAGATGTTGCCGCTTCCTGCTGAACGATGGCCAGTAGCCCAGCGTGGCTACCCAGTGTTGAGAAGAATCGGAGCTGCTGCCCACAGGAAGGTCAATGACTGAACTGTAACCTGTCCATAGACGTCTAAGTCTTTAGAAAGGCATCCAGCTGCCAACGAATGTCTTTCACTATGCAGTCCTGGCTGGCCTGGGACTCGCTATGTAAACCTGTCTGGCTTCAAACTCAGAAGGTTGCCTGTCTCGGCCTCCTGAGTGCTGGGGTAAAAGGCATGTACCACCATGCCCAGACATTCCTAGCTTTCAAAGCAACTTCCCTTCCTACCTGTGCTTTAAAAACAAACGGCTTTTCCCTTAATGTTTCCATGGCACCAGCAGGTTCCAGCTTACACCCTTGAGTCGTGTGTGCACAGGCACCCTGTGAGCTGAGCCCAGGCTGGAGCCGTGTTTTCCCAAGAAGCACATTCATGATTTACCTTTGCTTGTTCTCAAAACCGTGGCATCAAATGAAGAGGCAGAAGCCCACAAACAGGTAGGGCTCAGAGACAGATACTGGACCAGAGATGTGGATTTACTCATGCTGGCATGCCAGGCAGTGTATGCTGCCACTGGAAGTCAGAGCAAAGGCATGCCACACATCTCCCACCAACCTGACGTTTGTGGGAGACAATCAGGAATTAACATATGCTGGGCTGGGCTGCAGTACAGCTCTGGGTGCGCACTTGCCTAGCAAACATGAAGCCCAGGGTTTACTCCTCAGCACTATTAAGACAACAATGAATTAATTTAAAAAAATGAGCATGCCTAAGTGAGAACGAGAAAGGGAGCCATTTAAGAAGGTAGATACTTTCATAAGTAAGTAAACAAAACACCCCAACTCTACAGGATTCTGCGCGCACACCTAGTTACTCTAGCTCCCTCGAGGCAGTAATTACGTTAAGTATGAAAACAGAAGCATGGACTTGGCTAGGGGGAGCAAAGGCCTGACTTGCTGGATTCCAGCACACGGTGAAACCGATGTCTGCTATCAGCTTCAAAAGGGAGCAGCCTCATTAAGAAATGGCGCGCCACCATGTCCAGGGGTAGGAGAGGGCTGCACGCAGACTCGGAGTGGGTAAGGAGGGAGCCGGCTCTGCCTCCGTGCTATGGGGGCTGGAGACTCTCCTCAGGGAGCCCTTCTCCCTGGTGCAGCGCCCTGTCAGTCTTCAGCACACAGCTGGCTGTCCTCACCTGCTTTTCTCAGCTTTCCTTACTCCCACCCTTGGGTGACGCATCAAGCAAACAGAGGTCCTGCCCATTTGCAGGTCCTTCCAGCCCAGATCTCCGAGGCCCTGACAAGTGCTTATTAATGCCGGCCACACCCATCAGAGGCAGAACCGACCTCATCAGCCTTTTGCATTTTCAATGGTAGTAAAGGTGTAATAAACAAACAGACAGAACGCCCCCCTCATCTGCCATCTAGGGCCTGACATAGGTCACACACAAATTGGAACAGAGAATTCAGCACAGGGTTTCTTTGCTGCTCTTCCACAGGTTCCCAATGTGAAGCAGGAAGTGCTTCTCAGGGGCCTGAGGCCAGGAGCACCCAGAGGGCATGGCTGGCTCCTCTTACCTGGCTTCTTAGAAGCCAAGCACTAAGGTCTATTGCCGTTTTAAATTTCAAAATAACTGAGACAAACATACAGGAAGTGGTGGGCTTGTTTCCCTCAGAAACCCCTCTAAAACTTAACCCAGTACCCAGTGCTCAAGACCAAGCAGTTGGCTGACATTTGGAGGGAGTGGTCTGGGCTGGCAGGAGAGCTGACACAGCCCCCAGAGTTTCCTGCAGGCTGTCTCGTGGGGTGGAAGGGAGTCCTCTGCCTTAGATAGAACCACCATGGTACAGGGCACAGGAGAACCAAGAACCTCATTATTTGAATTCTTTTCATTCTTTTTCTCCTTCCTTTTTTTCCTTGACACAGGTTCTCACTATGTAGTTCTAGCTCTGGCCTGGAACTCACTATGTGCAAGAGGCTGGCTTGGAACTCACAGAGATCCACCTGTCTCTGCCTCCCGAGTGCTGCAAGTAAGGGCGTGCGCCATCACACCCAAACACATTATTTTACTTTCCAAAGCAACTTTAAGAAAAGAAATTGAAGCCCTGGTAAACAACCCTAAGCTTCTAATATAATATCTTATCCCATTAATTTAAAATTTTTTCTCTTTTTGAGGGGGAGTAGGCATGAAATGCCGGGGATCAAGCCTGGGTTTCAGGCTTGCTTTTAAGGGCCACAATCTCAATAAAGACTAGAATTCTTGCTGAATAAATAGAGGAATTTTAAAAGAGGAGAGGGTGGAAAATGGCAGAAAGCTGATCAGACTGTGCATGGGAACCCTGGAAGAAAGAAAAGCATTACTAATCTCGTAACAAAGGCTTGTAATGGATCTTGCCGCAACACCTGTCCAAGAATTTCTGGGGTTTGCTCTGATTTTTAAAGTAACTAGATGCCAGAACTCTGTACTTTTTGGTTTTGCTTTTCTCAAGACAGGGTTTCTCTCTCCTGGAACTCGATCTGTAGAGCAGGCTGGCCTTGAACTCAGAGATCCGCCTGCCTCTGCCTCCCAAGTGCTGGGATTAAAGGCGTGCACCACCACCACCACCACCACCACCACCACCACCACCACCACCACCACCACCACCACCCAGCAAAAGTCTAATAATTTTAAGGAAGAGAATGGAGAGACTGCCACGGGAAGGGAGGGAGCTATAACTTAAGAATATGCTTTCCTGTCCCTAAGAACCCCTGAGAGGCCCCAGAAAATCATCCACGTGACCCTCTGACTCCGTGGCAACTGCGCACCGTAGAATAGGCAGAAGACGCTTCCACGGTTGGGTCTGTAATGGTGGGGAATGGGCACTTCGGGTAACTTGGCTTTGCCCCTTCTGCAGGAACCCCACCTGGCTGAGGGTGGTGTTGTGCTGGGCCTCACAACACTGTGAATGGGGGCAGGACAGGGTGTGACTGCTACCCTGCAAACGAGGAAGCGCAGTCACGTGAGGACAGCAGGGTGGGCCTGGGGGTGACATAGGAGGCACTGGCCGGTGACAGCCCAGCCTGGAGGTTTCACATACTGGTCCCAGCGTTGAGGGATGGCAAGAAAATAAAACGCTGCTTTGGAGGAGGGTGGGAACTGAAAGGGACAGTTTCATAACATCCAGGAGGGGAAAAATGTAGAACTGCCGAACACATCAGCTGTGAAATCGCGAGGTTCCTCCCACTCCTCTAACAGCTGGAAGGGACACACCCTGGTGTTATGAAATACCTTTGCCTCATCGTTGATGTCCCAGGTGAAGGAGATGGCGTTATAAGCAATCTCTTCAATGTTGCTGATGGTATTGAAGCTTTCTTTGTAGTCGGCTACAGGAAGCAACAGAAGAGAAAAAGTCACAACTGTTCTGAAGTGCGATCATAGCGGACCAAGAAATACTCAGTTGGCTGCATTATCCTCTGAACAATTTGAACAGCATTTTGTTGTGTTGACAAAATAAAGGAGGCAAAAATAATCCCAGGACTCTTTTTTCTTTTTAGTAGAGGCAAGCTTAGATATAGCTAATTCCATATCATTGGGTCAAAATCAGGAAGTTTAAGCCCAAAAAGTTTAAGCAATGGTCTTAAGGTCCCAAAATTGATATGTGGAACCAAGATTAGAACTCAGTTCTTGCCGGGCGGTGGTGGCGCACGTCTTTAATCCCAGCACTCGGGAGGCAGAGGCAGGCCTGGACCGACAGCCCCCAAAACAATACAGAGAAACCCTGTCTCGTAAAAACAAAAAACAAACAAACAAACAAAAAAAACCCTCAGTTCTTCTAAGATGGGTGTGGAGGGACTGCCTATAATCCCAGAAATTGGGAGGCCAAAGCAGGAAGATTTTGGTGTGAATTCAAGGACAGCTTGGGATATGCAATGAGTTTGAGATCAGACTGAGCCACATTGAAAGACCTTGCCCTAACAAAGAGAGACTCAGCTCTTCTGGTTCTTACAGAAAAGAGAGCCAGAAAATTTCACAAGGTAAAGATACAGGAGCCCCAGGTGGATGGCCACTTGTGGGTAGATGATGGGAGGAAGCCCCAGGTGGACGGTCGCCTGTGGGCAGATGATGACAGAACTCCCAGGTACATGGCTAGCATGTGTGTAGTTCCGGGTTCCGTCCCCAGCAGAGAAGGAATAAGAAATAGAGGCTCAAAGTGAGATACTCCTGTTAGCTGGCTAATAAAGTTCCTGGCTCTAGTCACATGGCAAACCGACGCCTGGCACAGGCCCCGAGAAGGAAGTGAGGACGGAGCCCTGATTCCAGGAGGCACAGGACACTGCCTGGAACACATCTGTGGCTGGCACCAAAATCCAAACGCTTTCGGCAGGAAGGTCATCATGGCCAAAAATAATTGGATCTGGCAGGCAGACACTCGAACCTGCGAGAGGGAGGTGGGCTCCTGGCCACTCACCGATGTCGATGCACCTCTGCTTGGCCGTGTGCTGCCGGGAGTGCCAATACTTCCAGTGTCGTAGCTGGTCTTCCCTGCTTTTGTCCTCAGCAAAAACCACCATGATCACGCTCTGGGAACGAGAATGCAGCTTAAGGATACAAGGGGGTGAGCAGTTCCAGGGAAAGTCGTTTGTTGTTAGATCTTACAGTTAAGGCTTAAAGCAACTCTGGGGGGGGGCAGGGGGAGGGTACAGAGATCACTCTCTCTACTTGGTGCTCTCCCAGGGGACCAGAGTTCTGTTCCCAGTACCCACATCTGGCCTCTTACAACAGCCTGTAACTCCAGTTCCAAGGGAGCCATGCCCCCCAGCACACACACAGACACAGAGACACAGGAATGAAAGTAAAAATAATCCTTGCAAACAGTCCATCAGCCCTGGCACCTTCAGGCCTGTATGCAGTGACAAGGATCTGGAAGAATTAGGGCCTATGGTCACCTGACAGAAGCTTTTCAGGAGAAGAATGGAATCAGGTACAGAACTTACTCGAACTTTGCTGATTGGGTGGTGGATCCCTTCGTTGCTGCTTACTTCCTTTAAGGTGACAGGGTAGAACTGGCCTTTGTTCAGGTATGTCATAGTGCTGTCCCCTTGCTTCTGCCGAAGTGACTTTGAGGCTTCTAGGGTATACTCAAAGTTGTTCCTACAGGACAAAGAAGCAGCAGGTTTGGGGGCCAGTCTTTGGAAGCTTCCAGCACACACCTCAGAGTGTGTGTGTGTGTGTGCGTGTGTGTGTGTGTGTGTGTGTGTGTGTGTGTGTGTGTGTGTGTGTGTGTGTGTGTATGTAGGTTACTGAGACAGAAGAGCACCAGCAAACCCCCAGCCGACTGTGCCATGTAAGAAGTAGCACTTGTCCCCTTTTCTTGATAAATAGGATCCTAAACACAAGTGCTTGATGGCCAGAGACTCTCAGATTGTGGGCCACCAAATATCAATTACAAGTTCTATGACATAATGTCAACAACTAGACATTTGGATGCTTGGGCTACAAATGACATCAGGAACTGAACAGGTGGTGGCAGGAACCTCCCTGGGCTTGCTGCCAAGCTGGTCTCTATGGAGCAAAGGTTGCAAATGGGCTCGGAGCACAGCATCCGGTCACTTGTCTGCCAGCACTCTCTTGTAGCTTCCCCCTGCAATTTGTCTCAAGGCAGGTTCTCCATGATTGCCCATGTCTTCTATTACTTTACACAGCCACTCAGAACTTTCCTAGACTGGAAGTCAGCCAATTAATTACACCTATGCTTTTAAATAAAGTTTTATTAGAGCATAGCCTTGCCACTCATTTATGGCTTATCTGCTGACCTCCTTTTCATTACGACAGCAAAGCTGGCTAGTCACAACACTAGAGAGACTATCTAGCCCACAGAACCTAAAATATTTGCTATCTGACATGTCACAGAGAAAGCTTGCCAGTTCTATGCCAAATAGACCATAATGTTTGTGAGTTTATGATCTTTGAGCCTTGGGACATACTTATGAAAGGAAGTCTAAATCCCACAAATCCAGAAAACCAAGGGCTTTATATTTACTGATATATTTATTTACCTATCAATCTATTTATTTATTTAGTATGTGTGTGGTGGTCAGAGGACTACTTGTAGGAGGGTCCCTGCCTCTACTTTGTGGCCTCCAGGGATTGAACTAGGATCATCAGGCTTGGTGGCAAGCGCCTTTACCCACTGACCCATCTCACTGGACCTTTTTTTAAAAACTACAAAATATGATGCAGTTAGGCACATAAAATAAAAAATGAAATCTTAAACTTTAAAAACAATCTTGAGATGTTTATATACGCCTCATGAACCTAGAAAATACTACTTCCAGAGTAGGTCACAATTTTGTTAAGCTAAAAACAAGTTGCCAGGTTAAGAAAAAAGGTTACATTTGTTTATCTTACCATTAACAAGGATAATAAAGTCCTTTGTCCACTTAATTTACCCACAGACTATCTGCTATCTGCACACTTTTGGGGACAGATGGCCCTGGTGATCTACGTTAATCCCCATCCCTTTCCTTCAGATCCCATCCCACAGACAGGAGCCAGGGAAGGAAAAACACCACCACCAGGAGCCAAGGAAGCCGAAAACCAGAGTCCTGCATCAGATCACCACAGGAAAAGCTCCCTACCCAAGGTGAGGCCACAGCTGGCAGAGTCACAGGAAGGCGAAAGCACACCAAAGCCACCTCAGGTCTGTCAGGACCAATGCACCAAAAAGAGAAGTGACCACAGAGACTGAGGATCCAAGAGTCAAATGAAAAGACAACTATTACCCAGAAACACTGTCAAACACATAGTCCTCTGAATTCATGCCCGGCATCCGAAGGCTCAGGTCCGAGGGAAAGAAGACCTGAAACAGCAATGCAGTGAGCCACGACCATGTAACTGTCACCATGGTTACCAAGGACCAAGGTCTGATATGGACGCAGTGTGTGGCATACAATAACCCACAACTCTAACAATTTTAGATCTATAAAAAAATTTTAAGAAAAGTTATAAAAGGTAAATATCAGCCTGGAGGTGATGTCTCGAACCTTTAATCCTAGCATTCGAGAGGCAGAAGCAGGCAGATCTCTGAGTTCAAGGCCAGTCTGGTCTACAGAGGGTAGTTCCAGAACAGCCAGGACTACACAGAGAAACCCTGTTTTGTAAAAACAATAAATAAGGCAGGCGGTGGTGGCAGAGGCAGGTGGATCTCTGTGAGTTCGAGACCAGCCTGGTCTACATGAGCCAGTTCCAGGACAAGCTCCAAAGCAATACAGAAAAACCCTGTCTCAAAAAACCAAAAAACAAGAAAACAAAAAACAACCCAATAAATAAATAATAAAAAGTAAATATCTAATTCTATAAAGCACTCATGTGAATAACCACACTACACACACACACAAACACACACACACAGTGCCTAAGATCCACTAGTTCCCTTCCCTTATCTTTCCCACACATCACATGTTCCATGTTCAGAGTTTTGAATCTGCAGTGAAAATAAAAGGGCAGGAGTCAAGTTTGCAGCAGGGCTGAACAAGTCTGCTCCCCTTTCCTGGACAGTGTCAGTTCCTACACCGAGAAGACCCTGCAGGGGCAGTAAGACCACCTCTAACCCCCTAGTGCCTGTCTTCCCACTCCCCGGAATCATAGAACGCCCCGATGACCACCTCCAATTCTGTATCACACCACAAAACAAGCAGCACCCAGTGACGACATGACAGCTGCCACGCTAGGCCAGCTCGGGAGCTCGCTAGGGTCTAGGACAAAAGGTGAAGAAACACTGTAGGAACTCAGTTGTGGTCAGTGGAAGATTATGCAGGGCTTCCTTTCTCTCTCTCCCCGGCAAATCTCTTAGTAGAAACCATAATTGTTAACTCAGCTGTTGGTAAGATTACCCATGTGCCCTTGATGATAATTTTTGGATTTGTAGGTTTAGCTTACAAATTATACCTATGGGCCTTTCTCTTAAAAAAAAAAACTAAACTTTTTATTCCTGATCCACTTGCTCTGGGCTAAGTTTCAAGCTTACATAACCAGGAAAAGGTGGAACCCAATCCTTAGACAAACACGCTGCCGTCTTAGGAAGATGCTTTTGTCTTTTGTACCTCCTGAACGCCCTCCTTGAAGGTCTCCGAGAAGGTGGAGTCTGGAGTCCTCCGCTGAGCATTGGGCGGCTGAGTGCTGGAGCTGAACTGGTCGGTGTTGAGGTTGCGGTCAAACACCACCACGCGCTCGGCGGGCTCTGGATGGTACACTGATTGGGGGATTCCCACAGCAAAGCCGTGCGGCTGGATTTCTGTCTTGATGGAGTGGGTAGGCATGGTTGCTATGGAGACAGTGACTGTTGTATCAGGAGCTGTCAGGTGGCCTCTCTTATCAGCACCCAGCTGGTTGCCGTGGGGGAGGACAATGTTGAAGGGCACGTTTTTCAGCACTTGCACTCTGTTCTCTCCAGTGGAAATGAGGGGCTGCTCCGTCACATTTGGCATGCTGCTTCTTCAAGAAAGGAGAAAGGACATTGTATTTTCAACCTTGGTGCTGATGCAGGGCTTTGATGCTTTGGGAGGAGCAGGTACTGGGGGCTCGACCACGGCTTCATGAATACTGAGCAATGCTCTGTACAGACCAGCCATCCCTCTGATGGTCTGGGCTCCCCACAGTAGCCGAACACTCGACAGAAGTCAGCTAAACGGGGAATGGAGAAAGGGCCCATTCCCTGTGAAGACTTCACAGCCATCAGTCAAGCAAAATCCAAGGCGAAAGCACAACTGCTCTGAAGGGACCCAGAGTTTAATATTTATGTAATATGAATGTGTAGTTTTAAAAATCATTTTAATATATGCGTATATGTGTTTACATGTGTACATTTGTACATCTCTCTGTGTGTACATATACAGGTGTGTATGTGTATCCATGTGTGTACACCTCTGTGTGTGTACATATGTGTGCACACCTCTGTGTACATGTACAGGTGTGTGTATATGTACACCTCTGTGTGTGTACATCTCTGTGCATGTAGAGGGATGTGTGTGTGTGTGTACACCTGTGTGTGCATATGTATGTGCACACCTGTGTGCATGTGTAGGTGTGTATGTATGTGTGTACAGTCCATGAGTATGCATGTGTGTGATATGTACACAGCACCTGCTGAGGTCAGACATCAACTCCATGATGCATTCTCTTCTACCTTTTCCAAACCTTCCACCTGGTTCTTTCTGTGGAAAGGACACAAGCTGTCACTCTAGCCCCAAATGTGGAGTGTTTTGTTTGTCTTTCTTCCTGCTTCTGGGGACAGAATCTGAGCCCTGTTGTATGTGCTTGGCAAGTGTTCTACCACTCAGCTTCCCCGGGCCATGAATGTATTTTTAAAGCTCTCTGAAGTCTTACAAACTGAAAACGTCAAGGAACAAAACAAAGGCGATTTTATACATCTCAGGTTCGGAAAAACTATTCAAACTCTGAACTGTAAATTCACTCCTGAGGACCGACCCTAAAGAAAATGGCAGGAAGCTGAGGCAGGCCGGTTGGAAGCTGCAGCCAGCCGGGACAACCTGAGACCCATTCTCAAAATAAAGGCTTTTCCTGTGGCTGTGTCACATCAAAAGACTGGACACGGCTGCAAATGCAAGTACATTTTGAGTTTATTTCCAGACTCTCCAGCAAAAGCGTATAACATAAAACATGAACTAATTCTAGCATGAAGAAGAGGGAAGAGCACCCTCACCATTACAGCTGTTGAGGCTGGCAACGAATACATGCTCACTCCTAACATTTCTCCTTTTATCACGCTTGGAAAGGTTCATGGCTAAGAGTAAAAAATAAAATCGATACATAAGCCAGTCTCCAAAACAAAATCATGACGTTTTAAATAGCAACCTGGAGAATATTTATGAAACAAATTACATGGAATAAATGTACACTTCCAAAAACTATCTGCAACTGTAAGCGCAGCAGCCACAGTAAAGAAATAATTGTCACAAGTGTGGAATATGAACTGCTATTCATCCCTTAAATCAATTTCTGTCCCCTTCCCCTGCAAGATGGGATTTGGCTGTCATAGCTCAGGCTGGCCTTGACCTCCTGCTTCAGACTCCCTAGGATTGCTGGGATCTGCTACCATGCCCAGGTGTTTTACTTTGTATTAGTAATACATCATGGGTCAATTTAATTTTTTCTTTTTTAAAAATTTTATGTGCATTGGTGTGAGGGTGTCTGATCCCCTGGAAACCAAGTTACAACAGTTGTAAGCTGCCATATGGGTGCTGGGAACTGAACTCGGGTCCTCTGGAAGAGCAGTCAGTGTTCTTAACCATTCATTGAGCCATCTCTCCAGTCCGACATGGGTCAATTTAAAAGCTGTTTTTAGGTATGCACAAACATGTTCATGCACACATATAAAATAAATACATCTAAAATGTATCTTTTAAAAATGTTTCAAGGCCATAAGGTTGGGTTGTAACTAATTTACTAAAGTTTTAACCGAAAATGTCTTCAAAAGGAGTTTGGACATTAACTCATTGAGTTTTACTCAGGCAACTATTCTAGAGTCATTGGTGTCTTTGTTTCTTGTTTTGCTGTTTTGTTTTCTTTTTGCAGATCTAGGGATTGAACCCAGAACCCTGCCCACGCTAGGCAAGTGTTTCATCACAGATCTGCACCCCAAGTCTTGCTTTGTCTGAAGCAGGATCTCCCAAGAGCCCAGGCTAGCTAGAACTTCCGTGCCTCCTGCTTCTGCCTCCCAGGTGCTGGGGTCACAGGCGTGTGCCACCACACTTGGGTGGCTTTTAGATTCTTCCCATCTCACCCCCCTTTAGATAAACAAACACTTCAGATTTACTAAAAAACGCCCTGTGGAGAAGAGCTTGATGCATGTTTTCTAGGAAAGGGAACCCTGCCTAAATAAACAGTAACTTCACAGAGTAGCAGACAAATCAGCAACAGAATCTAACGCTGAGATGACGGCCACTTCACCGTCTCTTCCACCAGGCCCTTCCGGTTGACCTGGCGGACCTGCCCACCTCCTCACCGTGTACACCAGTGTATACCGGCTGCCTCTCTTACCTTTTGCTGTGCTCTGGCTCTGGGTGCTCCCCCTCTGGCTTTGCTGCTGTGGAAGACCGGCGCTCTCTGGGAACCTAAAGCGTTAACACCAATGAAAGGGATTTAGTCCTTCTCCAGGGGAGAAGCCTTCGCCTGAAGGAGCAACCTTGTACTTCTCAGCAGACTCACTGTTCACTCATGTCTTTATTGTCTGTTGAGTGCCAGTCTGCTAGGAAGGAGGTGACAGCCTGGTCACCGCTGCAAGAGGTGACCAGCAAGTGCCAGACAGACTGGTGGCATCACAAACTCACTCTGCCATAAGAGTGAGGATTTCTTTCTTCTTTTTTTGAAAAATCTTAAGATATGTGTTTCATTTTATGTGCATGAATGTTTATCCTGCATCTGTGTCCGTGCACCAAATGAGTGAATGGTGGCTCCCATGAGGTCCACCAGGGCACTGGAGGCCCTGGAACTGGAGTTACAGACAGCTGTGAGTCACCATATGGGTGCTGGGAACTGAACCTGGGTCCTCTGGGAGAGCAGCCAGTGCCCTTAACCACCCACTGAGCCATCTCTCCAGTCCCGTTCTATTCCTTTTATAGCTCCTTTCTTTGCCCCAAAGCTAAAGAGCAGACAAATGACAATGGACACACTGTGACATTAACCCCCCCCAGAGAGGCGTGGTCCACATAGGTGTACAAGCATAGTTGACATATGTGAGATATTTGCAGTGCATGAATTCTTTCCTATTTCACCATTAGCAACCAACAAAGGGCTCGTGAGATGGCTCATTTCATTGCTCTTGCACAGGAGTATGGATTCCAGCAGTTCACAGCCACCCGTAACCCCAGCTTCAGGGGATCCAGCTCCCTCTTCTGGACCCTACAGGCACCTGCACTCATGTGCAGACACCCGCCATGGTCCCCAGCACACATACACATAACATGAAAGTACTGCTTGATTTATAGCAATACATTTTTAAAGCATCGCTAGTTATTGAGTAATAACAGCTGATGCTCACAACCAGGAAACTCAAATGGCCATCCCCTGAGCATCTGTCATTGGTCAAGCCAAGGAAGACAGCAGACACGGGCCACTCCCCAGCACCAGAGAGGATCCTGTGGCAGGAGCTGGACTGGGGCTGGAACCTAGCTGAATCCATCCTAGTTGCTGGACCTGAGAATCAAAAGTGACACAGAGGCCATCTAGTGTGAAACAGACTCCATTAAGAACCATGAGGCAGACTGATGCAAAAACCTACACATGACAGTTAAGGCTAATTGAGCTGTCTGGAAACAGGCAAGATAAACATATTCTGATCTTAGTACGAGACCCAAGGATTGTAGAAGTGTGCATTTTCCCCAACCAATCCTAAGGCCTTGTAATAGCGGGAATACAGAAACGGCAATCGCCCTGATCACCAGGAAGGAAAGAGCCCAGGTCAGTCAGCAACAAACCCTTTCCATGGCACCAGGAACCAAGTTTGTTAAAACGTTTCAACTGGGGGAGACATGGCTACTATCTTCTTTTACAGCAGGTCTCCTTCAGCCAGGGCCAGAGCAGCTGTTTAAAAGCCACCCTTTGATTCTGTGATGGTAGATGCTCAGCTTTGAACCACTGAAAGCCGGAGCGCTCATTAAACTATTTATAGTCACTACAGAGGCGGCCAGCCCGACATTCAGCAGATGACTCTTTTATAGCTGCTGAATCAAGTGCGTCTGAGAATGCCGTTCCGGGCCGGAAGGAGCCCGCAGCCCGGGCCGGGCGAGCCCGTGGCCCACCTTGTAGTAGTCGTAGAGCAGGCCCAGGGCAGCTGCGCTGTCTTCATCTCCGTTGATGCTCATCATTGCCTTGGTCGCTGCAGTGAGAGGGTTTTCCAGGAAAGACTTCCAGGCCTCATCCTCGCTGGTGTAGGAGCGCCGCTGCGGATAAAGGGCTTCATTCTGAAGAACCAGCACTGGCCTTTTGCTACAGAGGAAGAAATTCAAAGTTAAGTCCACACTTCCCATAGCCAGACGGCTTAAACAAAAACAAAAACAAAAACCCAAACTGAACAAATAGTTCTTTGACATTCCTACGAAATAGGACACACAGTTCTGTGCCAGGAGATAATTACAGGTGGGAGGCAGCTCAGTGGCAGGGCAACTGCCCATGGGCAAGGCACTGGATTCCATCCCCTGCATTAGAATGAATTAAATACCAGCATCTCTTCAAGGGCTGCCTGAAGAAAACTCAATAAAGGAAGTGAAATGGTGTCCATGTTCCTCCTAAAGACATTTTTGGAATAAATAAAAACATTCAGAAAATTCCGGTTTGATTTACAAAATGCTTTTTTCTAAAGGCATGTTTTAAACTGCCTCATGGCCCGTGAGCTGCGTCAATGACCCTAATAGTCAAATGAAGACACACTCAGAAGACAGAGCAGACCCGAGGACCCCATCAGAGAACCTGAGAGGATGTGATTTGTCAAAACCCATAACTACCCCCAAGGAGACACAGGGCTAGTCACATGTGTTGCAGCAGCGCACGCAGGGAGACAGCAAGGTATGGACGCTTTTCAAACACTCTCAGGCCACCGCCCTCTTCCAAAGCCCACGCGGAGCTCCAGGGCTCCTCCAGCTACTGCACACGACTTCCCCCTTCTCCCTGCCGATGCCATGACTTAAAACAGGCTCCTTCCTAGAACTGGGGGCAGGAAGGAGGGACTGAGAGCAAAAGGGACATTTCACTTAATCCTTCGGGGTATTTGACAAAGTTAGAGACTCGACTGTTACTAGAAGAAACCCTGGAATGTAGCCAAAGGGGACTATAAATCAATAAACAAGAATAATTTTCTGGCATGGGAGTGAACTGCTTATCTGAGAGATAAACACAACCTACAACCAAAGAAGTCACTGGATGAAAATCTGCCTTTAAAACAATAATGGACAAATCTATTTAAAAACCTTCACATGTGCCCCCGTAAGATGGCTCGGGGGGACCGGCAATCACTCACAATGGGCTTGAAGTTCTAACCCTGGCACCTACAGAGTGGAAGGAGTGGACAGCTTCCTCCAAGTTGTCCTCTGACTTTCAAACATACACATAGGCACACAGAGCAAATCAAGCAATTAAAAACCTTCCTTAGCAGATGACATGGTTCAGCTGGTGAAGGAACCCGTTAAGTCTCCAAGACCCAAGGAGAGACGGAACTTGCCAAAAGGGGGAGAAGAGAAGGAGGGGACCACAAACTCAAACTCATACAATAACAGAAGTAAAAAGGAAATCTTTACTAGGTTTTAGGACTTGGCACAGCTCAGGTGAGCATGACTTCTCTCCTTGGGGTCCAGGGCTTCCTGGGGTTGGTTCCCAGTGTCCCCTTCCCCCCAGATAAATAAAATCTTTATTAGTTTTTCACATCAGGCAAGGACTATGTCACGTTAACAGTGAAGTTTGTGGGAAAAATCCGGAAAATCAATGGTGACTTTAGAGACGCTTTTATAGGAGATTTAATTTTAAATGATTCAGGCAAACATTGCTGATTCCAAAAACTGGAAATGTAAACAGTCTCAACAACTATTCAGCTGGTACTATTTAATAAGTCAATAGAAAGGAAAAAATGGAACATTGACTTTAGCAAGACAGAGCAGTACTTTTGTGTGTGTGAAGGAACAAGAATGGAGGTGTCTGGAACCTCTCTGAATGATGATGGCTGCCCTGACAAGCAGAAGTCAGGGCTCAGCTCTCATTGCAACACAGAATGAAATATGTAAATGCCCTGGAGGTGACCCTACCTTTTCTAAAAGCGAGTGTAGAAAGTCTGATTATCTTTGCAAGTAATCAGCAAAGGTTAGGGCTTGGCAGTCACCCAAATCCTTCAAAACCAGATATAGATTTAGGAAGAAGAAAGAAAGGAAGAAAGACAGACAGAAAGAAAGGAAGGAAGAAAGAGTTAAAAGGACATCTGTGAAAGGCAGTAGCTTCTCCTGCCCTCAGAAGGCAGAGCTGTCTCAGGGCCCAGGTCTTTTACTTGTGCTCGTGAAGATGATTCTTAAACAGGCTTACCTCTGGAGATGGGCTTTTTATTTTGAAATTTAAAAGTAGAGACTTATCTCCACAAATCTCAAATTGTAACCAAAGAAGGAAAAATACACAAAAAGGCATTCCTCAAACCTTTGGGCCCTGAGTCCAATGGAGGCACCGTACCCTGGTGGAGTCCCTGGACGGCTGAGCTGTTATTAATAGCATAATAGCTACTTCCAAGAGATTCTCACAGCAGTTGGCTCGTTCAGCAGTCGTAATGCTAGTTTTGCAAGCTTTCCGTCTGCCCCCCCATCCTACATTGGTACAAGCATCAAAGAGTAAATATTTTCCATTGGCTTTATGTCTGTGATCCTCCTGAAGACATTTTATATTTCCAAATTATGTCTAAGGCGCTGAGGTTAGCGCTGGGACTTTTGCCTCGTCACTAAGCAGAGAAATAAACAGAACAATCGCAGCCCACTTCTTCATGACTAGCAAGATGTTGTTCCGGCCCTGAAGGTTCATGGGTGTTTCCAGATGAGCCTCAGACCTTCAAGACAGCCGAGCACTAAAATGAACTGCATTTTCTACAAGACAAGATTAATCTGTCGCTGATTCTACCCACGGCTAACCTCCTTCAGAAGACAGGCACGAGAAAACTCCACCCTTAACAAGCAACTACGAGGCCAAATCCTCTGCTCCAGATATACTGAGCCGAAATAGACAGGCTCTGTTTTTCAGAGCGCCTTTATATTTACAAAAAAGTTGCGAGTAAAATCGAAAACCATCCGTGCCCCCTAGTCCTGGCCAACGTCCGATCACATCTTACACCACCCCAAACTCCAAAAAGCAATCCCGATTCGGACAGAATTCTCTCTTCCTCTGGATGTTCCCGAACGGCAGAAATAGTCTTCTGTAATTACCATCGGTGATGCAAGGGCCCAAGAACACCCACAGCAGTGTTCTCACGCAGCGGCCGCAGCGAAGAAGACGCGCAGGCAGCGGACACTTCAACCTTTCCCCAGATCGCTCGCTCCCGCGGCTCGGCAGGTGACAGCAGGCTGCCCGGGGTCCACCCGTCCCCACCGAGCCATGGGCACCGGGCCCGGGAGCCCCGGGACGCCGGGCGGACAGAGGGCCCGGGTGCCCCCCGCTCGCCCTACCCTGCCCCGCCCAGCCCAGCCGGGCCTCGAGGCCCCCGGAGCCCGCGCCGTCGCGGCGGCAGGTGCGGTAGCCCCCGGGCCCTGGCCGGACTCGCGCCCGTGCCTCACTCACTTGTCGTACTCCTGTGTCATCGCGCTAGCTCGCCGCAGCCGTGCCGCAGAACTGGACTTTCGGGTTGGGACAGTAAACCCGATCCGGGGGGAGGAGGCGGCGGCGGGCGGCGCGCAGCGGCAGGCGGTGGGTCCGGAGCGGCGGCCCCGACGGGTTAGGTTCGCTTTTCTCGCTCTGAGCCGGCTCGGCGCGGGCTGCGCGCACTGGACGCTAGGCTCGGCCTCCCATTGGCTGGCGGCGCGCCGGTCTGGGGCGGGGCTTCGGGAGCTGGGGGGCGGGGAGCTCCGTATGATTGGTGGGATGGCGGAGTGGGGGCAGGGTCCGAGGGCCGGGCGGGAGGGCGGGGGCCACGAGGTGCGCGGAGGCGCTGGGGAGCTTGCGCGCCGCTGGCCCCGGTGGCGCCGGCTCGCAGTGGCGCCGGCGCCGCGAGGCTTCGGCGCACACCCGCGTGGGCGCGTCTCACCTTCCAGTCTTCGCTCGCGGTCACTTCCCCGGCCCCATGGCCTCTCCCTGGGAAATATCTTGGGAAGGTTCCGTCCTGTCTTTGCTGCGGCACAGGTTTGGAGTTTTCCTTCTGGTCCATCTCATAGTATCCACTGTGTGACAGTCGCAAGCGTGCATAGTCCCTTAATAACCCATTTCCCCCCGGCCAGTGATCCCTATTTATTGGGCGCCTACTACGTGTCAGGGGCATTGGGTCACTCTAAGCCCCTTGCCAAGCTCCAGAGCGCCCACCGCTCCCCCAGTCTCCCGGGAGCAGGTCTACTTACCTCTTCATCCCGCTCAGACCTCCATTTGGGCTTCAGCGTCCCTACCTCCTAGCTGCCTGTGCGCTCCCTCTGGCCAGCTCCAGGTTGGTTTTCACCCTCGTCCTCCTGCACTTTCTTTCCCCTGACGACGCCTTTTTCGAAGGGTCTGCTTCTTTAGCCTCAGCCCGAGGCCTACTACAGTTCAGACAGGGTCCTAGACAGGGAGCACAGGGCAGAGGCCAGAGCACACAAATTCCCCTGCTTCCTAGAGCATCCTAGTTTGGGAGTGACAGTGATTGCTTTGGTGTACCAAGAGGTGGCAAGTTCTGAAGGCAGGCGAAGAGTGTAGGATGGAGCCCCGTGGTTAAAGATGTCTCTGGTGAGGGGTGGGTGGGCATCCAAGGTGAAGGCACAGCCGTGGATGGGATGGAGGACATCTGCGTGTCCACCTAAGCGCTGGAGAGCAAAGACTACTGCGCACAGCGGCAACAGAGCCCCGCAGGCTTCTGGAAGGTCTTAAATGAGGAACCCTTGTGGAGGGCTTGGGATAGGGTTTAGACAGACCTCATTCGCGCTTTAAAATAATCTGGTCACTGAATGGTGGGGAACCAGTAGAAGGCAATTTCAAAAATACAAGCGAAAGATAAAATAGTAGCCGGAAGCGTGGCCTGGGGGTGATGGAGCAGTGAGAAGTGTTTGAATTCTAGATGCAGTTGTGTTAGCTAACAGGATTTCCTGAGAACGGGAGCCAAGTTAGAGTTTCATGGAGAGATGGTGTGTCGGCAATCCAGGACTCAGGAAGTTGAAGCAGTTGAGGCAGGAGGCTTTCCAGTCTCAGGCCAGTCCCAAAGTGAAACCTTCATCACCACCGCAAAAAAAAAAAAAAAAAAAAGAGTTAGGCCTGAACAGAGACTTTGCAGCCAAGCACCAACTGGCTAGAATGACTGTTATCCCCTGAGATGGTGAGAGGCCGAGAATGTGAAAGTTTGGGGTGGGCAGGGGTCCTGTTTAGGATGTGTTAAATTTAAAGTCCAGTTTTTGTCTGAGTGCACGGTCACGTAGACGGATACTAGACTGGAGTCCAAGAGGAAAATCAGAACCGAAATTTGACCTCTGGGCATTGTCATCCTGAGGGGTGGAATTCAAAGCCTTGAAATGCCTGACCCTCCAAGGCCGGGAGGAGGAAATAGGATGCACTAGACCATGGGTCCTGGAACCTCCAACACCGAAGGCTTGGAGGGAGAAGAGGCAGTAGAGGAGACAGCACAGACAGAGGCTGAGCTTGGAGGAAAAGAGAGAGAGGGAGACAGGGAGGGAGGGGAGGAGGGGGGGAGAGGGAGAGGTCTCCATACTCTTGCCAGAGTGTCCCTTCATAAAGCCCCAAGTCACTCCCAATAAAGTTCACCCTCCCCAAGTCAGCTGCTACCCTGAGGTCAGCTGACTTCCCTTCACTCACAGACTCAGGAGTATTTCCGCACCCCTATCCAGACTTCCTGAGCCTTGGCCCAGTGAGCCTTCCTGTGTGATCCCTAGCGCCTCCAACAGAGTCCCAATGTTTACTGTGTACAAGATCCTTATATGATCTTTTCCAGAGGGGACACTGTCCGTCATCGCGTGGTCCGCAGCACTGACATGGACATGGAAAATGTCCTGGAGATGGTTACTGAATGGCACCATTCTCTGTTGGTCCTACTGTGGAGCTGACAGATGGGCCTCTTGTATGGAGGGCACCGAGGAGCATTGGTCCATTGGGGTCTGCTGTCTGACACATGGTAGTTGCCATGTAAACGGGAACAATGAAGATATGTTAAGTCATAGAGTCAGAAACCGAACAGGAAGGTCCACTGGTATTAGATCTAGATGTAGTGGTAAAAATGTATGGTCTTGGGGGTGATGGTGAGGCAGCATCCCCATGTATATATAGTGAGTCTGAGGCCAGCTGGGCTACACAAGACCCTGTAAGAAAACAAAAACTGAAGAACTTGGGTCTCATCAGTGAACTTCAAGGTAAGATTATTTCATTTATTTCTAATAAAGTCTCAAGTTCAAGCCCACATCTGCGAGCTGTTAGCATTGTCTTTATTTTTGCTTTAAATTTTTACACTTCTTTATTTAGTATGGGGGTATGTGTGGGTTCAAGGGGCACAGCTCATGTGTGGAGATGAAAGGGCAACTTGTGGGAGCTGATTCTCTTCTCCCATCATTAGATTCCAGGGACTGAACTCAGGTCATCAGGTTTGGTGACAAGCTCCCATACCCACTGAGCCATCTTGAAGGCCCTTCATTATGCTCTAATGCTATTTTTAATTGTAAAAATAGTAACTACTTGAAGCCAGGTGGTGGTGGCACATGCTTTTGATCCCAGCACTCTCGAGGCAGAGGCAGGTGGATCTCTGTGAGTTCAAGGCCAGCCTGGTCTACGAAGCTACACAAAGAAACCCTGCCTCAAAAAAAAAAAACCAATAATAATAATTACACATGGTTCAAGATAAAGAAACTAGGAAGGAAGGGAATAAAGACATCTAAGCAATACAGAAGAGTTAAAATTCAAATTGGCTCCTCTATCCACCATCTCTCGAGAACTGCTTGTAACTGTTGTGTGTGTGTGTGTGTGTGTGTGTGTGTGTGTGTATGTGTATGCTTCCAGATCTTTCTAAGTAAATGAAAGCATACAGATAGGATTCTTGCAGGGACAAGTTACCATTTCTTAAATTTTCCATAATTTCCGTGTCAGAGCACTGGAATCTATTTCTTTCTTTCTTTCTTTTTTCCTGGTTTTTCAAGACAGGATTTCTCTGTATTGTTTTGGAGGCTATCCTGGAACTCATTCTGTAGACCAGGCTGGCCTCAAACTCACAGAGATCTGCCTGTCTCTGCCTCGATTAAAGGCATGCGACACTAACGCCCGGCACTGGAATCTTTAAGACATTTTCCCAAAAGTCTGTGCCAACACCAGACATTGTCAGAGATTGCTATGAGAAATATCTTACTGTTTTGAACAGCATTTTTAAGTGATGGACAGGGTTTATCTTTTTGGAGGGGCTTCTTAAATTTAAGAATGAGAGCCAGAAAAAAAGGAACAGGAGCAGGTGGTGGTGGCGCATATCTTTAATCCCAGCATTTGGGAGGCAGAGGCAAGTGGATCTCTAAGTTCAAGGCCAGCCTGGTCTAGAGTGAGTTGCAGGACAGGCTCCAAAGCTACACAGAGAAACTCTGTCTTGAAAAATCAAACCAAGCCAAAAGAATGGGGTAGTATTGTTGATTTCTGCTTTGTTTTCCTGAGATAGAATCTGATTATATGGCCCCAACTGATCTCAAACTTCTGGACTCAAACAATCCTCCTCCCTCGGGCTCCTGAGTAGCTGTGTCCAGACATGTCACGATGTACCCAGCTGCAATCTTACTTTGTTTCTTTGGTACTATCCTTGGAGGGATGTGTCTGTTGCTGTTTATTTTTTTAGAGAGTCCCAGTATGTACCCCATGCTAACCTCAAATAAAGAAGATCGTATCCTAAGTGATGAGTGTCAGTGGAGGGGACTCATCAGACTTCCCTCCTAGTGCAGATCGAGGGTATCAATGGACTCTGGAAATAATGTGTCAAGGCTGGGTGCACATTGAGAGGGTCATAGCATAGGTGCTCATGCTGGCTAGTGAGGTGACCTCAACACAGTTACTTCTCTTTGGGCCTCAGTAAAAGAATCAGTTGGACAGGTCGTGTGTGTGTGTGTGTGTGTGTGTGTGTGTGTCTGTGTCTGTGTGTGTATGTGTGTGTGTGTGTGTGCCATCACACCCCTTGTCTCAGGGCTCTAAGAACAGTTTCTGTGATCAGAATCACCCTGGACATTACAGTTGCTTCCCAATCTGGCCCCCAGCACGTTTCCTAATCGACACCCCAGTTAAAAGCTTCCAACATGATGTAGTCCTGTTACAGTATGCCCTGGGTCCTGTGAGCCACACCTGCTGGGTTTTAGCCCTTTTCCCTGATTCTGTTTAAAACCAACCTGCCGTGCCACTAGAACTACTTGGAGGAGCTCTGCTCACTGTCCCTTCCTAGAGGACACCAATCAGACTGCTCTCCTTCTCAGTAGTTTCAGTCCCACGTGACTTTTCCAGTTCAGGATTCAAATTATAGGTTGGCATCACATTTTTA